GAACCCCAAGGCAACTCCCCGGCCTTTCGAACCATGGGAGCACGAGGCAAGTAAACCAACCACATCCACAGAATCCTGGCAAGCCAATAATTTGCAGGGTTTCAATAGTGCCTACTTGCATGGTGTTGGAAATCAACTGTAGCACTGGACCACTCATGGTACCTGGCGATCCACGCCGTTGACTATCACGTGTGGCAATCACAAGATACTCTACTTGTGACTTGCAGTTGGTTGGTGCGCTGACCAAGCATGAGGTTGCATTTGGGTGTAATCTGACACAACCAACTATAAGCCAACCCATTCTCAACCCCGAAAAATACCAACCTCAGACCATGCCTGCTGGAGATTCTGTCATGGTTCAAGGAGGCTCTTTTGGCTTCCCCTTTCCGTACCAGAGGGTCTGGTTTTTTTGGTACTCTTCGCTCAGCCACAGCAGAGAGTGGACGCTGCTTTTGGATTTGTCTGTGCTATTCAATTCTCCTGAAAATGATCAGCACAAACATCTGCCCATCTGGCTGATGGAATAGTGAAAATGTGCTCGCATTTGAGGGTCCAAAACCTTCCTCTCGCGATCGTCAAGGTTTCTGGGCTGTGACACAAAGGGCGGCAAAGGCAGCCTGCCTGGCCTTTCCCAGTCTACCGGCGCGAGGGTTTGGTCATCGCTCTCACGAGTTGACGTGCCAGGTAAAGTCGATGCGTTTTCCGCAATGCTACTGGGCCCACAATAGAAAGGCCCACATTTGCAAAGGCCTTGTCTTTAAGAAGTCTGCATGCACAATGGAGCAAAACAAACAGCTTCAAGCGCAGCATGTTTTCCCTTGCCTTCACACAAAGGGGGGGCCACAGAATGGAAAAGAAGTGCAAAACGGTGCAATTCGTTGGTCGGTTATGGTTTGTGTCCCTGCCAGACTCCGCCCAACCTCTCCGCCAACCCCCCGTGACCCCAAGCCTGGAAAAGGCAAAACAAATCAACACGCACTCAAAGAGCGGCACACAGAGAAGACAGGGAGCATCGCGCCTACGGAGACAAGCGATTACCACAAACTGCGTGGATTTCCACAAAAATAGACTTAGCATACAAATGAGAAACAATGGATTCAAGTGCTAAACCACCTTGACCACTGACCCGACTTAACCTCGGTCAGCTCCATCCATGACTCTGGAGCTTACGAGACTTGCTCCTTCAAAAAGCCAAATGCCAGGGTTTGCTTTGGTCTGTCTCTCATGTCCGCCAAAGTCCGATTGTAAAGGCACGCCTCGCTTTGGATCTGGGCGATAAAGTCGATAAAATCGCCTCAGATCAGGGCTCACTCCCACGCTTGGACGGCCAAAACATATCGAGTGAATGTCGCGTGTTACAAAAAGTTGTCCCCCATTTGCCTGCGATGCGCATGCCCTTGCGTTATTTGTTCCTTCGACCAAGCGGTAGAACGCCTGGTTGCACTGCGGATGTTACGCCTCCCGGTAGAACTCCTAAGGGACGAAGCACGTGCCCACCAAATGGACTGCCTTTGCCGACAAAATGTCAGCTGACTTTGGTTGCGCCAATAACATCATGATCATTAAACTTCATATAGGGCCTGACTATATCTGACTATAATCCCAGCTTAATCAAGGAAAAACAAAACAGTTTTACAAAGTAGTGGCCAATTGGGATTTCAGAAGCTTCTCAAATGACAACAGTTGTGGCAACAACAGCCAAGGTCCGATCACCTTGTACGGCGTCATCATGCCTTCCGCATATGCATGCCTGCCTATCCAGGTGGATTACTAGCTATGGCGAGTCTGTCCCCAAGTCGGCTTTCTCGAGAAACAACCTACCAAAACCTGCCCATCTTCTACGAGGAAAGCAATGACTGCCTTGCATGCATTTTGATTGACGTCTTGAATCTTGCAACGTGTCATTCAGACCCAGGGCAGCCAAGGCTGAGAATAATTTCAATATTTATAAAATCAGACATTGCTGCTGTCCCTAGTGATTCGAATTCGATTGGCGTTTGACGGTTCGCTTTACTTGTTGAAAGGGATGGCCCACTCCTGTTTTTGCGCACGGCTGAGGGGACAGGCCGTCCACAAGCTGACAAGCTATCAACCAACCTGCCTGTGGGTGTCCATTGGTGAATACTTGCAAAAGCCCAAGATTAATCCAGGATTCATTCACAGAAACAGTTTCCGTGGCACACGCAATTTGGACAAGTTGAAAGGAAGACCATATTCTGGGAGGAAGGGCATAATGCTAACTTCAGGTCAATCCGGAGACCGATATAGATCACAGAGATCCCCAAATGAAGCCGAGGTTGACATTTGTCAGCAAATCAGCCGAGCGATAGTACAGAACTCACTGGCCAACCGGGGGTGACCCCCACCAAACGCACCAGCCTGAGCCCAGCGCTGGCTCTGAATCTACAAGGCTGTTGGACCTCGTGAGACCAGGTGATACCCGTCAGATTTGGCTCAGAGCAAAATCGGAATTGAGATATTCTAACGCTGTGCGACAACTCATGGAGGTTGGACAAATGTTGGACTCCCTTGGAACTGCGGTGACGGCTCTGCATCTTGCCGAGCCTCTTGCGCTGCTCGATCCACATGAACATATTCTGCAAAATGCCAGACATAACCAATTCCCTCTTCTTGCCCTGCCGTGGAGAATGAAAAAACGACTTGAGGAAACGAAGTGATTGAGCTGGGGTAGCGGGCTCCTTTGTTAGACGGTTTTCACAAAGCAGGAAACCCACAATTTGGGGGATCCCGCCTTACGACATACCCATATTGTGCTTGCCTGTCACAGCATGTCACTCATGGTCGCAGGTAGGTTGTAAACCTACATTCCCTAATTTTTGCGGCCAGTAACCACGATCATATCCTTGCTGACCAGGGGGGAAAAACTTGTAGCCACCCCCACCCAACCAGGCGACAGCCCGCCTTCGCAGAAATCGCAGCGGCGAGGGCAGCTTGGCGTTTGCAAGCGAGTAGCCCTTACCTCAAGATCAAACTGGGACACGGATCTTCTAAAAATGCGATGCCCTGGCAGGCCACCCCAACGCCAGGAGCCCCGATTTTTTGGAAACGCCTCAAGTCTGCCGCCGGTTCCTCCCCCCTCAAAGGCTCCCGCTGGGCTCAGCGAGCACCTGGGACGGTGAGAATCCACCTAGAAAGGTGAAGAAAGGCTTAAAATGGAATAACTTATAAGCTTTAAATCGTTTATAAAGCAAAAAAAACTGGTGAACAACTTTTGGCTTGAAATGGTTTACCAAAAGTTTATCAGGGCCCCCTGTTGCATTCAAGGGTTGGAGCGGTCTGCCTGTGCCCTCCCAACTCCTCCTCTGTTCCCCCATTTGGCGCCCCGCTGGGCCGGCAGCTTTGGCTCGGCTCGGGGATCGGCCGCAGCCTAAGCCGCGACATCGGCCCACACGATGCCCAGCAAGCCAGCGAGCAGAAGCCACCTGAAAGATCTGCCCGCTGATCCGCACGTAGACTCGCAAAAGCCTGATGATTCGTCTGGGGGTCTTCCGTGCCAGCAAGGGATCCCACTAAAAGGGGCTGCGCGTAGTCAAGCATTTGGGGGGATATGAACTGCTCAGCGGCCATGGAAAAACGAAAAACGGAGAGACCTACCTAGAGATGCCAACTGTGTCATCACTGGTAGTCATCCGAGTAAAGAAACAAACCATGAGTTTCATAGTGATCTTGCTTCCCTCATCTGTGAGTGGGGCAACGGTGGTGATTTGTAACCAGTAACTTAGTCATTCTAGTGAGCAAGTGCCCTTTGCTTGCATTCAAGGGTTGGATGCAACATCCACTTCACAAACATCAAAGGCTCTTCAGGCTTGTGCAGTCTGGAGGGCTGCCATGCGCAAAAAAACAAAATGAAGGCAGATATGGGCAGACGTTTATCGGTCATGAGCACCCCGTGCAGAAAACAGGCACCCATCTCCCCAAGCGACTGATATTTGTCACAAAATAAGGTATATTACTAGTGATGATACCACGCCGGCTTAGAACCGGGGATTAGAATGCGACGAAGCAGTGATGGGGGGGCAGCGAGCACTCATACACCAAAACCACCTAATCTCCGAAGAATTAGGCTCCGCACGTTCGGCCATCCGTCGGCAAGTCCCACGTATGCGAGGGCAAGGCTACTTTGTCCAATGAATTAGTCACAGTTGCCTTCTGAAGCAAATTTTAGGGTCACCTGAAACTGGTACGACGAAAGTAGATCCTTTCACACCCATCGTCTCCATGGCAAAACGCAAAGACTTCAAGAAGAAAAACTGCCTAGAGAGGTCTGTCCAAAGAGACTGCCCGGATGCTATGTGCAGCATACAGTGTATTTGCCGGGAACGAAGAATGTATACGGACCAACCTCCCACTTGCACTCGCAGCTCGGATCAATCAGAACACACAGCACTGGTTCAGAGCCAGCCGCTGCGGATGCCAAATCATGCAGAAATACGCCTCTGAATTCCGAGTAAAATCGAATTATTGGTTGATCACTAATTCTGTCATATTTTTTCAGAGGGGTAGGGGTCTACAAGGGTGAAAAGCCGCATTCCTTTCGTATTTATGGTTGGGAGGGTCCTTCACTTACTTGGGTTGAGTGTGGCTCAGGTCATAGGCTTGAAGTCCTCACCGGCAAACAGCAGTCAGTCACCTATTCTAAACCCACTGCAGCCGGGTGCACCCATACATTACTATAGACTATAGACATTACCTATGCAACAATCGAAAGGACACTGAACTGGTTCCATGACACAGGAAGATGATCTTAAAACGCTCTTCAAACCAGGCAATTCATTCCTATTCACCCACCTGGCATGAATGGGCTCTCCAAGAAAGTAAGCTTCGCCATGCACTGATGGCTCACGTCACCGAGTTTGGCAAACAGCTGCATTGCCCTTCGGCCCCATGAAGGCGCTTGGGTTCACCCACCGTCCACCAGAGCAAGCATCCTAAAGTCTTCCGCGCGAAGCAGCCACATTGTGAACCAGCTCGCTCTGTTTTGCGCCCGCGGATATTTCCTCGACCGCCGCTAAGGGGTGCCAGGCACACCCTAGGAGCCGCGTAAGGCTTATGCCTGGCGCGCGCGAGCGGCAGGCACAGTTCTGACAGGAGTGGATGAAAACTTGCCGTCTATTCATCACCTGTACTTGCTCCTACAGCCAAGTTATCCAGCACCTTGCCTCCGTCATACCCTACAGGCAACTGCAGCAAAATGCGTCTACTACGCTCAGCTGCATGCGAGGAGACACTGCACAGTATGTTTTGTTTTGAGAACTGGAATATCCATCATCGCCTGCGGAGTCCCGCTTGCAATCCCGCTTTCAATCTCAACATGTAAGCCGCGATTGCAGTTCTGCAGGGCAATTGCCCATGAAGCTGCTTACTGGACTGTGGCCTCATGCGCGTGCTCAAAAGATTCCACACTGACCCAGCAGGTAATGATTTTTTCTAGGAGTCATGCGCCCAAACAGAAATCAATCTGATCCATGAGGCAGCTACGCAACAAATTCTCATCCCCAGTGCTGGGGTTCCGGTTTCTTTGTGCCCGAAAAGCTACCAGCGGGGTGCAACCGGAGATGCAGCTGAGCAAAGCTCGCAGTCCAAACCCATCCCCCCTTAAAATCAACCCAAAAGGCGACGTGGGTACAAACTGACATTAAAAACATCACATGGAGAAGTCTGTTCACCTGCCGTTTTTGAGAGTACTCAAAAACATACTTTCACGGAGCAAGGTCCGAAAGCAAGATCCAAAGGCGGCCTCTTGGGCCGCCGCCCCCCGCCCCCGAGCACCTTGGCGCCGGAGAGCATGGCTTTGGCCTGGTCCAAAGACTCCATCTCGTCCGAGCGGGCGGACTGCCTGGCTCCGAGAACGACATCACATGCCGAGCAAGAAGCCACTAGTCACTAGTCCGAGTGAATGAGAATTCACCGGCCCAAAATCAGCTAACTTTCATCGTGAGGTCGCAAACAACCCTTTGCGAGGTGATATGATATGATTTGCCCAGAGGGTATGGTGGGACTAGCCTGCGCGGGGATCGGGTAGCGCCACTTGGCGAACGGAATTTCCCACTGCATCAGTTGAATGGCCTCAAGTGATACCGTCAAAACGCCCGTGAAACACAAGCGCCGAAAGGCTAAAAGGTTGCGCACACGCAGATTCTGGGAAACCGCGCTTTGAATCGGCTCGTGGCCATTCATGCGGACTGAAATTAGTTCATGCAGTCCCCGGTTGCTTTGGAAGCGAATTATACTCATGGCTCCGCATGAATCCTCAGCTTTGATGCAGGGGCTTCAGCCCGTGTGATTCCAGGGTAACTTAGACCAACGGGGTAGGCTTCGCACATGAACCCGATAAAATAATATGTTCAGCCCTGCGACTGATCCTTGAGGCTCAGGTTGAAGCGCCGCGATGATGATGAAACATCGTGGAAAAACACAATCAGTTGATGAGAAAAAATGTTGTCATCTGAATGTCCGCTTGAGGGGGATTGCCCTCCTGCAAATATATGTGAGACCTGAACAAACCGCTTCTTTTCTGGCGCTCCCTTCTTGGGGCAAGGAGCAAAGGACCTCCCCTTCGGAGTTTATTGGATTGCCGCTATCCCTGGATGGGGTCCAAGGCCACAAATCACTCGGACGTTCCCTGCCTAACATCGAAGCTCTGCATCAGCCAGTCGCACTGGTCCTCAAGCTCGTCCAAAGGCCGGCACATAAAGATGTCACTGCTACGAACCAAACTGTTGAAGAACTAGAATACTGGGATGATGCTAGGAGTGAACTGACACCAACATTAGTGGCTATGGATCCAGAGAGCATGGAGATCGGGCCAGTGGAAAGATCGGATACCTGAAGTTCTGCAGTTGCAATCCAGTACAATTATATGGAAGGCACAAACAAAGTGTCACATATTGAAAGGCCCATGCCTCCTCACGTAAACAGCACACTTTTGCCCCACACTACTCAAAGGAGAGGGAAACACAGTTTTCTCAACAACGGGGGAACCCGGGACCTTAAAAGGAACGAACCCCGCCGTGACTGCGACCTCTCCCTTAACCTTGTGGCAGCGCGTGCAACGCGCTCTTTTCTTGAGCCAAATGACAACATGCGGACATGTTGTCCAGTCTTGCAACTTGTATCATGGGTTCCTACCTCATGAACCTCTGGGCCATAAATGTCATCGTGATAATTGACTCCCCCCTCATTGACGGCACTGAGGGAGTGTCTTGGGCGCATTACCACGCCAACTTGAAGTCAAGTTTACATCACAACGACTGACGCAAGTTATTCAAGCATCGCCCAGTCACTTGCACACTTTTGGAAATTTTGCGGACATGCTGCAGCGCACTAGGCAGCTGCTTTAGCGGATCTACTTCTACGAACGTCTTCAAGCTTCTCTGGGAGGTCAACACGAATGCCGAGCAACCTGATGGCACGGTCCCACTTGTTGGGTGGAAGCGCTTTCGTGAAGATGTCTGCTGACTGCATGTCTGTTTGGACGTATTCTATTGAGATGTGTTCGCTTTCAAGCTGCTCTGCGATGCAAGCGAGGTTCACCTTGTGCGTGCGTTGTACACAGCGTAGCTTGGATGAGAAACCCTTCTTTGCTACGAGGATGGTCGCCTGATTGTCCTCGTGGATCTTGAGATGGAATGGTCTGTCCAAGATCAGCTCCCATAAGCTGAGCGCAGGAAGCGCCTCCTGGTACAGGGAGTACGCAAGAGACACGATCTCCGCCTCGGTTGTCGATCGGGAGACCGAGGTCTGCCTTTTAGACACCCAAGCGAGGGGGAAATGCGTATGTGGACCACTCAAAACCAAGAAGCCTCCGGACGTTGACTTTGCGTCTCGTTCTCCAGCGAAATCAGCGTCCACATAGAGAGACAGATGCAACTCATCAGTCGAATCCTGAACTGTGCCAACTAACGTGCTGTTAACCGTGCTGTTTATGTAGCAGACAAGCCTATGTAGCTGCTTATCGCAGTTCCTAGACCATTTCTGAACAAAGGAAGCAAGGTCGCCAATGGGCTTGACCAGGTCCGGGCGTGCCAAACGACCCAACCATAAGGCTTTCATCAACACGCGGCAAGCGGCGAAGCCGAGCTCACCCTCCAAGGCGTCATCTGCAGGGTCTAGAGATCCAGCGGGACAGAATGGAGTGGTGGCATCACGCAACTTTTCAGTTTTTAGCTGTGCAACCTCAAGATATAATGCAACCGTTTGACGAGCATAATCTCGCATGTCGAACGCCATGCCCCCTTTCAATCTGCCCATTGCGGCATTAAGATCGGGTTCAGTTGGGTCCTTTGGAGCATCTATCAAAAGGTGATTCCTGCCTAGCACCCGATATATGTCTTCTGGGGGTTCTATATCAACCAGTCTTGTTAACTTTTCCCAGAAGTCTTTATGAAGGTGGCTGGGGCCGGCCAACGTCAAGTCGTCGACGTATGTCGAGAGAAGTAACCCGGACTCCTTGAACCAGAAGTTTCCAGGAAACTCTGCGACCTCACGCCCTCCAAGTTCACTAATGAAACCTTTGAGGTGTGCCTCCCAGAGTCCGCCAGCGTCGGGATGCCCATAAAGAGCTTTAACGAGCAAAACCACAGGTTTCACGAAACGCTCGCGCCACCACCTTGGCCGGAGCTCAGGCGGGAGTGTGATCCAAGTTTGGTACTTGGATTTCAGCAGTGCTTGCACATAAGCCTTTATAGCGTCCGCTGTTGTGGTGGAATTAAGACCTTGTACGCTCGTGGGATTTGCTCCCAGTTCTTGGTAGACAGCTGCTGCGCCATGTTCGTCTTTCGCACAGTCTCCGCGATACACAATCCTACCTTTCATCTTCTGAAGGTGTTTCGCGAGTTCGGCGAACTTGACGGATGCTAGCGACATCAACTGCCCGAAATGAACTTTTATACTGGATCGTCGCGCCTCAGCAGCGACTTGATCATACTCTTGGACTGCATTTAGATCCCAAACACCGGCTTTCTCCAGGCCTGTCGCTTCAAGTCGAACGGCTTCAAGGGCTTCCGGGGAAGCCAACATTTCGGCACGTGACAAGAGTCTGGTCACCGTTGCGGTGATTTCAGGATCCTTCTCCTCCTTGACTTGTCCTAGGGAATGTGCGATGAGATTTTCAACATCAAGAACTTGTTCAAGGATGTCGTGACACTTTTCATCGGACTCGACAGCAATACCTATATCTTCCAAACCAGAGAGAGGGGATATGTGTTTTAGCTGCTGTTCACGTTCCCGGTGGTCGAGAGGCAATGGCACTTGGACAGGCATCGCAGGCACAACGGGTTGTATTGTCGGATACAGCGCACGGGCAACTGTGAGACACATGCCTTCGGGGTAGAAAGCGGTCTTTGCGGTCTTGTTACCTGCTGCAAGCGAGTGTTTATACCCTTTTTCGTGCGGACACTTGAATGCACTTAGCGCGGATGCGAGGGTGCTATTGCTGGTCATGACTTTCCATGGCTTTTTGATGGGGTAACCATTGCTGTCCTTCAGACCTAGGGCGCAACCGTGGAAGGTCGCTGGGGTGAAGACCTGTGCGTATTCCCCAAAGAATGCAGAAACATCATCCCTAGCCCAGCTGTCGCAATCCCTTGGCCACTCAAACGAAACACTACCCCCCTGATGGAGGACAGTCTCAGCGTGACGTCTGAATCTGGAGAACAACTCTCTCGACTCTCTAACTTTTTGTTTCAGTTTCTTCTTGAACTGGCTTCCTAATTTGGCCTTATTAAGGCGTTGCCATGCTGAACCTGATGTGCAGGGGATTGCAGCCCAGAGATTGGGTTTATCACAACCTTCTATCTGCGACTGCAACTGGATTTCTCCTTCATCTGTGCTAAGGTCGATAAACTCTTTAGCCAGCCTAACATGAGGTATGCCAAGACCTTCAAACACGCGACCCATTTTGGACTCTGGTGAACATGCGTATTCAAACATCACAGGCAACTTATCGATGCGTGCCTGTCGCTTGCGGGCACGATGATTTCCTACCTCAAACTGCTTGGGCTGCGGAGCTTCAACCTCTGCGCTGCACGGCATGCCAAAAATTGGCAATGTATCTGGACGGCCGTTCTTTGACGCTTCGGTGAGAGGTGTCGGCGGTACGGAGTCTAGCATCACGGCTGCACCCGTGGTGATAACGCAATCGGACAGAATGGGTTTTAACTTGAACACTGTGAACCCAGTCCATGGATCTCCAAGTGAGCGATTGGGTCGGCTACCAAACCAACCATCGTGAATGTTGTCTGCTTTGCCCCCCTGAAACACGGCACGAGTGAAGCGAGCTGCAGCAAATCTTTCTGGGGAAACGGGGCAATCCTCGACCTCCTTTGGGGTAAAAAGATTCTGCCTTGGCATGATATGGTATCGAACCAAACAGTTGGCATTTTCTTTGAACACCCAAAAATCTTCACCTTGCGATGTAGCGGCTGTCGCTGGCGCGGAATCGAAAAATGAGGCACCGGGTCTTGAGGGAGCGGGCTCCCCGGCTTCGGCTGCATCAAATTCATGCGCTACATCTTCTGCAGCAACTGCGATTTTAGGATCTTTCTCGCGCTCGGATGCGTGGATTGCCCTGGCTAGCTCCTCACCCCCCTCAGTATGAACAATGGGAATGGGTTCCTTGGATTCAGTTTTGGCAGCGCTTTTTGCAGCTGCTTCAGCTCGATCTGCAGAAACAAGTTCGGAGAACCTCTTCTTGCATTCGGCACTGTGAATCTTGGAGTGTCCGGTGCATGCGCGACAACCTGGCGTTTCCTTGAACTTGATGATCCTCTCAACAGTTATGTATACGGATTTTGACTTGACAGCGGATGGAGTCGGTGGCGCCTCTCGCAGGGGCAAAGGTGGGGGATCTGACCCTTCTGTCTTACCTCCGTGCAATGCTCTATCTGCTGCTGCTGCGATCGGAAAGCTTGGCGGTCCGTCCTCAACGAACAATTCCGGTTCAGGAACATCGTGAACGGAAATGGAACCGTCTTTACGGAAGGCTTCATAGTCCATGACTTTGACCACGTTACGGCACCGCAACCCCGGATTGGTTCTGTACCAAACCAATTGCCCGAAACAGCATCTCTTCCCTTGGAACTTTTCCTTTGTGAGGGCTTCCCATTGGGTTTTACCGGGGCTGAATGGAGCAGGCCTGTCGAATGACATGGTGAGGCATGCAAATGGGTAGCTAAACGTATGCAACGAATAGGGCGAATAGGGCAACCCTGATTGCATGTGGATGCTGCGACAGCATTCCTTCTCTTCGCGAATGTCGCGCTCCAGGATGGTATTGTGAGGCCACCTGTTAGGCAAGCTTGTCTCTGGGACGAGACCGACTTCATGGGCCGCTCCTTCGAGCTCTCCTGCTGCATCCATTTTTATTAGACATGCTGGCGGCGAATCAGTGGCCCGAAGGCCCATGAACTGACAGAAGTTTTTAACATGCGCTTGCGTGTCTCGCCTACTCACGGGGTATGCAAGGCGGACGCCTGAGAAAACATCACGTACAACATGGTGGGATTTGATTCCTCCGAAACCTACTCCGAGATGTTCATCGCCCATGGCAAGAATCACAGAATCGGTAGCCAACTGCTGAAATGGTGCGGTTGGGACGTCGACTTTGTCCATCCTTTTTGTGTGCTACCCTTGCAGAAGTGGTCTTTGAGATAGAACACACCTTGC